TATCATGTGTATTTTTCACATGATTTGGATCCGGATTGAATCCAAAATCACATGATACTACCCGGCTTTAGTGGACCTCCAAAACGGGCTCATCCATGGCACCATTGAGATCTGAACAATTTGCTGGTCCATTTGTACCTTTCCTCCCAGGTATTCTTCCGGAAGCTTTTCTGGCATTTTACAAGTTGTGAATTCACATTCAATTTATCACAGTAATGGGATGATAACAAAGACGACGACTACGATGTTGTTTTTGGAAGTATTGGTCACGAACTTAACTTTGGAGTTGAAACTAAAAAGGTGAAGAATGATCGGGTCGCCTCATATAACGTGACATCATAAACCTTTGGCAAGGCAGTTCTCGCAACATTACAACCAAATATTATTATAAAAGATAATATAATCTCGCAAAAAACGACATAAAATTATTATATATATGCTATTGCAATTCCAAAAATTTTCAAATCTTTGGTTCTGCAACAACAGCAACGCCTTCAATCTCTATTTTGACATCTTTTGGTAGTCTAGCAACTTCTACACACGCTCTGGCTGGTCGATTCTCTCCGAAAAACTTTTTGGTTTATAATATTATTGTTAATGTTAATAATGTTAATTTAAAAAAAATTGAAATCATTATATTTTTTCGTACCTCAGCATATACTTTATTTATTGCAGCGAAATCATTCATGTCTTTAATGAATACTGTGGTTTTTACCAAGAGTGCCAAGGAGGAATTGGCAGCTTCAAGTACATTTTGTAGATTTTTTATCGATTGTCGCTAAGATTGATCAAAAGACGTGTAATAATTATTATTAATTCGAGTATATCGGATATAAATGGTTTGTAGAGCGAGATATTTAGTTATCATATATTTTACCGTCTGTTCCTGAACATCATCACTAACAATATTGCCAGTTTCAGGTACTACGGGTATTTGACCAGACGCAAACACAAAACCATTCGCTACAATTGCTTGAGCTTTTTTATATTCACGCCCAATGTTTAATAAATCCAAATAATGAAGTTAAACTAGAATAATCCCTTCATTTACACCAAAACCAAAAAACTAACAATAAGGTCCAATAGCTCCAGGTGCCTTATCTGTCGAGACAACTTTGAGAGGTGAGGAACTCATTGTACGAGGTGTTGTTAGGTGAACGAATCGAAAGAAACTGTTATTAATATTTTTGTTTGTTAGAAAAATTGGTTTATTATCATTAACAGTAAGTAGAATTGACGTATAATAATTTAGTGGCGCTCTTCTTTTTAAATTGTGAAAAAATTTTGGACGAAACATGGGGATAATCATTTTTTAAAAAACACGTGTAATCTGTGTAATATCAAAAATTATACATGTATGGGTTTTTTTTGTCTCGTTCTGCGTTTTTTGGTTTTAAATATAGAATATGTAAATGAAGAAACCTGTAATGAAGAAATGTAAAATAATAAAAATAATAAATGTCTTTTCACAAAATGCTTTCAAATAAATTTTAACATATCATTTACCAGCCAATTTTTATGCACAAAAAGGCGAATATATCTAAATCATGAAATCTGAAAACACCCACGTGTTTCTCAGCGTTAATATTCATGGTTTTAAACAATTCGCCGATAATATACCACAAAACTTTTCCACGATTCCTTTTGGAGTTGAGGAAATTTTTGAAGAATCTCTTAGATGCAGAACGATCGTCGTTCTTTTTGATAAGACGGTACGTTTTGAACAAGAGATACATTACATTTTTTTATTTCATTCTTTAAATAAGCATAATCAAGGAATTTATTATTTATTTGATGATGATTTCGAGTGGAGGAGTGGAAAAAATATAATATTTAACAAGTCGTGCAAAAAAATAATCATTGAATAAAATTCCAAAAAGACAAATCAACAAAAACAAATTATCATTAAATGCTGTTAGTTTTTTGGGCAACTTTCTCAAACGCCTGTGTGAAATCCGCTTTTATATCATCAATATGTTCAATTCCAACCGAGACACGAATTAAATCCCTTGTAACACCACTAGCCAACTGTTCATCGTCAGTCAATTGTTGATGTGTCGTTGTGGCGGGATTAATAACTAGTGTTTTCGCGTCACCGACATTCGCCAAATTTGAGGCGAGCTCCAACGAGTCAACAAATAATGCGCCGTTTTTTTCGCCACCTTTTATCCCGAAACTTAAAACACCGCCGAATCCATTTTTCAAATATTTTTTCGCGTTTCCATAGTACGGATGGGATTCCAACCCTGGGTAGGCTACCCACGCTACATCTGAATGATTTTCAAGCCATTTTGCTAGTTCAAGTGCATTGTCAACGTGACGTTGGACACGTAACGACAAAGTTTCGAGACCTTGTAATAAGAGAAATGCGCCAAATGGATTTTGTGCTGGGCCAAGATCACGTAATATTTCAACACGAGCTTTAATTGCGAATGAGATGTTGCCAAACACGTCCCAATATTTGAGCCCATGGTACCCTTCGGCTGGTTCGGTAAATTCGGGGAATTTGCCATTGTTCCACGGGAATTTGCCTGAATCTATAATTACTCCGCCGATTGTTGTCCCATGGCCACCAATCCATTTTGTTGCACTGTGGACGACTATGTCTGCGCCGTATTGAATTGGTTTTATAAGATATCCGCCTATTTAATCGTATTAAAATATATATATATATATATATATATATATTTGATTGTTATTATCGTAAGATCGCGTATGCTATCATTTCCGTGAACATAAAAACAAACTTACCAGCACCAAATGTATTATCAACAATTAATGGAATGCCGGCATCATGAGCCACTTTTGCAATACCCTCAAGATCAGGAATATTATACTTTGGATTACCAATTGATTCGACATAAATGGCACGCGTTCGATCATCAATGAATTTTTGAAATTCTTTTGGATCATCGCCTTGTACAAACTTTACTTTTATTCCTAGCCGAGGAAGTAGGATCTATAGAATAGCGAAATCGTTTTTTTATATATATTTGGTAAAATTAAGTATATGTAACTAAGTAAGGTATATACTTTGAATTGATTATAAGTCCCGCCATACAAATAACTTGTGGACAAGATATTGTCACCAGCCATAGCTATCGTACTAATTGCTATAAATTGGGCAGCTTGTCCTGACGATGTGGCGACTGCTGCTACGCCTCCTTCTAGTGCAGCAATTCTCTTTTCAAATACATCTTTATTAAAAGTGAATTAAATTAACAAATCGTGTATGGGGTCGGGATTGCATGGAATAATGTAAGTTGATTTATTAATGTTATTTACCAACAGTGGGATTTCCAATTCTGGAAAAATTAGAAAAAGTATTAGTCTATTTTTGTTTAGATCACAGATCGTCGAAATACCATCATCATTTACCTGCTGTATATATTTCCAAATTCACTCAAACTAAATAATCGCGCGCCATGTTCCGAATTATTGAACACGAACGAAGTGGAAGCGTAGATTGGAACAGCGCGAGCGTTTGTTGCCGGGTCAGGTATTTGTCCAGCGTGTAATTGAAGTGTCTCAAAATGATATTTTTTATTCTCTTTTAACGACATTATTTCTTTATTAACAAAATAAAATTCAATGAATTACAAGCGTTTGTAGTAAGTAATAATAAATGGGAATGAAGAACAAAAAGCTCTTTTCCTTTTGCTAACTAACATTTCGGGTCTTCTTTATTTGTATCAAAAAATATTTATGATCAACAAACGCAATTATCATTAATCTCACGTCATAAAATAAGATGTTGATTGGGCTATCATAAATTTTCATGATCAAATTGCCATGTGTTTTTTATTTTTTTCAATAGGCTTCAATTAATTTTTCCCCCCCCCCCCAAGTTTTGATTAGACAATGGAAAATTAATCACTGATTGGATAAAATTGATTACGCAATATTGAAACAATCTCAGAAGGAAATTTTACATACCGGCACAATCTACCTTAACCCTAACTTTTTAGGTTTTCCGGATTACGTGATTTGATTTTGTCCAATCAGCGATGAGATTTTCCATTACAAATTTGATTGGCTAGCGATCTGAATTTTAACTGTATCAATGATGTAACACAATCAAACTGCGATGGGAAGAAAAAAGCCTCAGAATAAAGTTCCTTCAACAACTTCAAGTAAAGTGGAGGTATTGAGCATAATTGGCGATTATAAAAAAAAGATTGAACCAGAGCTTATAGTATTTGATGATTCGAATCTGAAAAAAAATAATGATGCAAATATTTATGAATGGAAGGCATTTATGGTGAGAAATATTTTCAATGCCTTGATTTTATATCTAATTTCAAATATTAATTAAAATTTAAATTAAAGTCGTCAAAAATTTCCAAAGTGGATGATGCTACAAACTTATCAAAGATGAAATCAACCATCAAAGAAAAAGAGGAAGAAGAGTAAAATGTTTCATCTAAAATATTATTTTAATAAGTTAGTTAAGAGTAACACATACTAAAGAATGAAAATTAAAAAATAGATTGAATAAACGTCACGATGCTGAATTAGAAGAATTATTAAAGACAACAAAGTTACTGGATCTATATAGTGTGTATTATATTTACGTGTCTTTATAATAAGAAATGTTTTGATCCCTAATTTTTTAATTGATGTTGTAGCCGCTGAACAATTAAGTGGCAAAGAACTTCGAAAGCACAAAGAAAAACAAATGATTAATCTTGGAGCAAAGGTGAAAATTTAAACTATAATCTGCATAGCTTTTCAAATTGCTACTATAAATTTAATCATTAATTCGAAAAAACATTTCATTCTTCAAATCGCATTTTTGCGAATAGCCACCGAAGGGGGATAAAGTTCCAACACCAATAGGGTTGGGCATATTACGCAAGAAACGAGAAAGGGAAACAAAAGAGCTCGAAGAAGTATGTTTCTATCATATATGAATCGAAAAACCTATTCGGCCATTCTGTTTCTCATTGTTTCGATTTTTCTCCAAAAATAAAGGCTAAGAATCTCGGTCTCTATCACCAATCGATTAAAAATAATTGGGCAGCATCTGCCAAAAAGAATAATGTTAATAGGGATCGAGGAATTGGTGTGGGTATTGGTAAGATAAGAGGTGGTATTCTCACATTGAGTTCTCAAGATATAAAGAGAGTGCAGAATAGTAGGTCAAGGACTCCCGGGATTGGTCGTGGTGGTGTTAAGAAGGTGATGGGTCGTCGTGGCAAGCGAAAGAAATAAAATAGCTTTTAACGGTGAATATAAAGCTGATGTTTATTATTTATAAAACGGAGGCTAACTTTCATATTTTTTGAGCTGAAAAATTTATATGCTTGTAAGTTTTCAGTGCTAGTATTATGGATCTGCCCGAATTATATGTAAAAGTCATGACTTATTTTTATTCTAAAACAAGATGGTTAAGGTAATGAACCCTATAGTGTCAAATATAGCATGACTCTGAGAAACAAATTTGTAATTAGTTTGCCTCGTGTACCATTTATTTTAGATAAGAATGCATTTTTGATAAGCGAAAAATACGAGAAACTTGGCGCACTAAATAAAATTGATACATAGAATCACAGCGTAATAAGATGATAAAATATTGCGCTACTGCTGAATTTTTGAATTATCATTAATATATGCAATGTTAATTAGATTTTGCATAGTGAAATTTCAGCCCAAGCAATAATATTAAGCCAATTGTTTATTAAATTAAATTACACGTTAACCTTTATAAAGACACCAAAAATTTCGTGGAATAACAATAGAGAAGTGAATTTATATGGATTATCTTCATTTTTGCTATTTTTGTTTTTTAATAATCAAAATGTTATTATAAAGAGGTTGACTTGTATATTATTAAATTTTAATATTAGAAAGTATTATTTTTTTTAAGATATCAAATATTATTAATTTATCTATATTATATTAT